CCCCCCTAATAATGAAAACACTTTTCGAGTATCTATTGGGGGGGGGCCCCCCTTTAAGCGTTAACGTCGTCTGCCTGCTGCTGGGATTGGGTTTCGAGCTCCTCCGTGCGCATCTGCAGTTTCGCCGCCAATGTCTCGGACTCCACGGCCTATAATTAGTAATTAGCTGTCAAAGGGCTGAAGGTTGGGTTTGGGGGTTGTGCAGTGCCAATATTGGTTTCGACTCTCACACTACTCGCGCAGGGCAGGCAAGGTCTCGCGACATGGCTAAGGGGGCTGATCATGACCTGGATGTTTTGCTTTGGTAGGAATGACTGAGCATTTGCGAGTGGACGGCATTCGTCACTCTAACTGCGAAAGAACGACTGAAAGCCGCATATTGCACATCAGGCTCGTTAGCCCCAGGACCCCATTCATGAAAAGAAAGCAGGAAGCAGAGAGCAAAAACGCTGTGTAACTGTATACATCCATACAGAGGAAACAGACATAAACCCAAATTCTGTGCCCGTTTTGGAAACTCGATCAGTAGCTCCTATGCCTCCACACTCAAGCCTGCCTTGAATTTGGTGTTGACTACCTGCTCCTTCTCAACAAAACCGGGCCACCAAGTAAGCTTGGAAGCAACCAGGAGAGTCTAATAAGCCGTGTCGCGGCTTGCATAGGTAGTCACTAGGATAGCGGGAACTTAAACCCCAAAAGCCTCGAAGCAGAAACCGTAAACTCCCGCAGTTGCAGCTGAAAGTCTCGCGCTTGCAGGTCACGTGCCCGCCTCTGGAACCTGGGATAAGGGTCCCTTGACTGCCCCTTGCGCCCAAAATTGCCCCGACCTACGACCATGAAGACCCTCAGAACCAAAGGTCCAAAGGCCCCAGCCGTGAGATGCCATAAGCCAAAGGAGCACAGTCTTCTGGTCGCTCATCTCTTCCAATCGCTGGTTCAGTTGTCGCACTTCCCGGATGTGAGCCTTGTCCTGGTTCAGCGACTGAATGATGCCACAAGAACGATTCCGATTCACTCAGAGAACCCCGCAGCGCAAGACGCAATGTGGTAAGGCTCCTGTTTCATGAGGAGCTCTTCCACGGCATGGTGTTGCCGCACTTGAAGAACCCACAATCCCAGCATCAGGAGGGCCACAAGCAGGACACCGGAACCCAAGGAGTAAAGGGCTCCCCTCGACGGTGCGAACGAGGACACCTGAGAGTAGCACAAAGCCCGGTCAGGGTTCGGAATTCCGTGCCGAACGGCTTCCACACAAGCGCTCCGAAATGCATGCACTCTTGTCACCACATTAGGGGCTGTGGCCCGAAATGCATCGACAGCCTGCTCAACTAAGCAGAGGAACGGTGCGCTTGGACTTGTCTATCTTCGCCTTTTCTTCTTCGATTGGGTGCGGAGCTTTCTGAGCCTCCGCGTGCTTCCCCTGGCAGCACAAAGGACGTTGCTCCAATGTTGCAATGCACCCTACCCCCCGCCGGTAAACTCTTAGGCTTGAACCCCCCGCGATCTAGCTCTGCTGTAAATCTGCAAACCAACCCTGGGCTTCAAAGAAATCTTATAAACCATGTGGCGGGCTGTAGGGATGTATAGCTAATTCAAAGCACTAGTGACTAGTTTTTTTTACACCCAAGACTCCGCAAGTCGAGAGTCGCAAGAGAACTCAGCGGCCCATTGCGCACAGTGCTGCTACCGAACTCTCACCACAGATTGTGGGCTGATACACACCCAAGCCTAGCCCTAGGAGCAGCCCCCCCGGAGTGCACAGCTCAGAAGCATCACCCAAAGATGCCGGGAGATTGAGGAGATCTGGCCCTTGGGCCTGCGCCTGAGCCCTCCAAAACTCGGGGGGGGGGGGGGGGGGCAGCGGGTCTCGGAACCCTCATTGCAGGTCGTCTCCGGGGCGCCTCGTGGATTTCTGGCGCGGCCTCGGCGATGATTTGGGTGCAAAGGGTCGAGACCTTAGGGTCACAGAGTTCGGCTTCTGGAGCTAAAGGAGATAGGGAGCGAAGGAGCTGGTGGCTTGAGGGACCTTGCGGATCTTCCGGGATTTTTGCGAGCTTTGGTCCAGCTGATCACCCCTGTTCTTCTTTCGCACTTGGACAAGGAGCCGAGGCACATGACGCGTTGGACTGACACCGTTCAGCGGCGTCTCAACCAGCTGCAACGGGTCGTCTCATGCAGACTGCAGTACAATGTGGAGCTCATAGTTTCTTCGCTTCGCTACACCCTCCTCCAAAGTGTAGCCAGGGTATCCACCAACTAACATATCTTATTCAACTTCCCAAATAATAATGTCGATTTTCCTTCGCAGCGGACTCACCGATTGCAGTCGATATAGTGGCGTAAAGCCACCTGCGCAGCTGAAACAGCAGCACCATGCTGGGACCAAGGCTGGAGGCACGATGCCAGGTAGGCCCTCTGCCCGGCATGCCGGGCGAAAACCTGAGCGAAAGTGACATCGACAAAGCTGGTTCTGGTTCAATATAATATAATATAATATAAT